CCCTATCTCCGGACAAACCGTTTCCAGGGTGACGGGCCGTTAAGAAGAAAAGATAACTCTGCCCGGGGCCCCCGCCGTCGTCTCCGCGTTCAGTTGCGTTGCCGCGAAAAACCCACATCCAGGCGCAGGAATATTAACCTGCTTCCCTTTCGCCATACGGGGCGCTAGCGCCCCTTTGAAACGGAACTTCCCTATGGCTTAGGATCGGCTAACCCACGTCCAACTGCTGTTCACATGGAACCTTTCCCCACTTCGGTCCTTCAAGTTCTCATTGAAGTATTTGCTACTCTCACCGAGATCTGCACTAGGGGCAGCTCTAGCCGGGCTCACGCCCTAGCCTTCGTCGCTACCCCCACGGCCGCCTACTCCCCAGGGCCTCGTTTCTACCCTGGGGGCGGGGTATGGGTGGGACGCTTGAGCGCCATCCATTTTCAGGGCTAGTACATTCGGCAGGTGAGTTGTTACACAGTCCTTAGCGGATTCCGACTTCCATGGCCACCGTCCTGCTGTCAAGATGTACTAACGCCTTTTGTGGTGTCTGATGAGCGTCCACTCCGGCACCTTAACCCCGCGTTCGGTTCATCCCGCATCGCCAGTTCTGCTTACCAAAAATGGCCCACTAGTGTCGGTACATTCGAAGGCCCACGTTCAACAAAGTAACAAGGGCTTCTTACATATTTAAAGTTTGAGAATGGATGAAGGCTAAAAATCGCCCCCGAGTCCCTAATCATTCGCTTTACCTCATAAAACTGAAGACGACACTGCTATCCTGAGGGAAACTTCGGCGGTAACCAGCTACTAGATGGTTCGATTAGTCTTTCGCCCCTATACTCAAATTTGACGATCGATTTGCACGTCAGAACCGCTGCGAGCCTCCACCAGAGTTTCCTCTGGCTTCACCCTATTCAAGTATAGTTCACCATCTTTCGGGTCCAAGCGTTAATGCTCCTACTCAAATCCATCCGAAAACATCAGGATCGGTCGATGATGCGCCGAAGCTCTCACCTACGTTCACTTTCATTACGCGTGCGGGTTTTACACCCAAACACTCGCACTAATGCTTGACTCCTCGGTCCGTGTTTCAAGACGGGTCGCTGATGACCATTACGCCAGCATCCTTGCCGAAGCGCGGTCCTCGGTCCCCGCCGGGGTATTGCGCGCCGGGCTATAACACTCCCCGAGGGGAGCCACATTCCCGGTGCTTTTGTCCCCCGGCGAAAACCGATGCTGGCCTGAGCCGGGCGGAGTGCACCAGCGAGAACGCTGGATGATCCGCCCGGCGCAAGTCTGGTCACGAGCGCTTCCCTTTCAACAATTTCACGTGCTATTTAACCCTCTTTTCAAAGTGCTTTTCATCTTTCGATCACTCTACTTGTGCGCTATCGGTCTCTGGCCGGTATTTAGCTTTAGAAGAAATTTACCTCCCATTTAGAGCAGCATTCCCAAACTACTCGACTCGTCGAAGGAGCTTTACAGAGGCTCGGCGTCAAACCATACGGGGCTCTCACCCTCTGTGGCGCCCCGTTCCAGGGGACTCGGTAGGCGCGTCACCAAAAGCATCCTCTGCAAATTACAACTCGGGCCCGGGGGCCAGATTTCAAATTTGAGCTGTTGCCGCTTCACTCGCCGTTACTGGGGCAATCCCTGTTGGTTTCTTTTCCTCCGCTTATTGATATGCTTAAGTTCAGCGGGTATTCCTACCTGATCCGAGGTCAACTCGAAAGGGGCGTCCTGGTGGACGCGGGTTTTAGCGGCTGGAAGTCCGAAGAGGCCGCCGAGCGAGGGCGCGTTTTACCGCGAGCTACTGCGCTCGGAGCCCCCAGCGGGACCGCCGATGTACTTGGGGGCCCCGGCCGCCAGGCGGCCGGGTGCCCCAACACCAAGCTGGGCTTGAGTGGTGAAATGACGCTCGGACAGGCATGCCCGCCGGAATACCGGCGGGCGCAATGTGCGTTCAAAGATTCGATGATTCACTAAATTCTGCAATTCACATTACTTATCGCATTTCGCTGCGTTCTTCATCGATGCCAGAACCAAGAGATCCGTTGTTGAAAGTTTTAATTTTTCAGGTTCTTTTCGTACTCAGAGATACACTAAAATTCAGGGTTTTGAACCTCCGGCGGCGACGGGGCGCCGCCGAAGCAACAGTAAAGGTAAGGTTCACAGGGGTTGGAGTTTTGCAACTCTGTAATGATCCCTCCGCTGGTTCACCAACGGAGACCTTGTTACGACTTTTACTTCCTCTAAACGACCGAGTTCGTACAACTTTCCGGCACCTGGGTGGTAGTTGCCCACCTCCCTGGGCCAGTCCGAAGGCCTCACTGAGCCGTTCAATCGGTAGTAGCGACGGGCGGTGTGTACAAAGGGCAGGGACGTAATCAACGCAAGCTGATGACTTGCGCTTACTAGGGATTCCTCGTTGAAGAGCAATAATTGCAATGCTCTATCCCCAGCACGACACAGTTTAACAAGATTACCCGGGCCTCTCGGCCAAGGAAGGACTCGCTGGCTGTGTCAGTGTAGCGCGCGTGCGGCCCAGAACATCTAAGGGCATCACAGCATCGGCGGGGCCCTGAAGCGACCCCGCCACACCGGCAGCCCACAAGGGGGGCTGCCCCCCCGCACCTCGGCCTGTCGGGCCTCATTGCGGGGGACCGGTTTATCATCCCGGCGGATTAGCACGTACCTTAAGCCCGAAGGCCCACTCCTTTCCGCGCGTTGCGACGGCCCCGGCGTTTACTCGGGGCTCGCCACAGGATCGGCCGGCGCGGGGCGACGCAAAGCGCCCCGCGATGACGGCGTTCCCTGTACCAGGTAGTGTCGCCCACGCCAGGCGGGCCCTGAGGCCCGTCAGTCCGCCCGACAGACGGGGACTTCCCCGCGGACTACGGCGTTGGACTAGCGCACGAGTGCACTGTTACAGGCCTGTGAAAGGTTAACCTGTTATTGCCTCAAACTTCCATCGGCTTGAGCCGATAGTCCCTCTAAGAAGCCTGCGCGCCGCCAAAGCGACGCGGGCTATTTAGCAGGTTAAGGTCTCGTACGTATCGCAATTAAGCAGACAAAATCACTCCACCTACGTATTAATGGTCATGCACCACCTCCACAAAAATCAACAATGAGCTCCTCATTCGGTCATCCTCGTAGAGCTGGCATTTTAAAACAGGCGGCATTATACTCCCCCTATCCTGCTTCGTAGACTCGGAACTATTCAGGATAGCATCGTTGCCCGTCGGGATAGGACAAACCTTAAGCTTTCGAGACACCGGTAAGCCTGAGGA